GTTATTTTCAAGGATATAGCATCAGAAGATGACAGTAATTCGAGTTATTTTAATTTGTGCAATCAGCACCGTGTGATTAACTTTGTTTCTAAGGTACTATTAAAGACCTGCTTGCCCAAATGCAAATTATTTCCATTTGCTCCTTGTTCAAACTCTGCCAATATGAAAAAGGATGTTTTGTTTACTTTTTGACTGTTAAACTTCCAAGTCTTTATTTAAATTCTCTACATGAACTCTGCCTGGAAGCGGATAAATCAAGTGATGTTTAATTATTCAGAAATGTTCTGTTGTGTTAAGTCATGCGACTCCCACTCGATTAATAAGGAATATGATAATACAAACATTTGATATTGCTTCCAGGACGAAACGAATTTCTCTAAATCACATCGTTAATTTCTCTATATCGAACATTTTTTTTCTGTAATATTTAGTAATGGATGGTAGTTGTTTTGAATAACATCAACGATGCTCTACTTACATATTGCTCTGTCTTTCATTCTATTTTTACATCTTGTCGAAGGTAAGTACGTAACAAACATATATCTATATAGATTTAAACAAAATTTGATTGGCGATATATGTACTTTTGGATATATTTTTAACTTGCTTCTCGTTATATATAAGCTTTAAAACTTTGATAATTTCACAAACACAAGAGATCTAGACTTAAGACTAAAACATTGTAAACAATAAACTCAATTTATTCATAGAAATCACATGAAGTCACATGAAGTGTGGGTTTGTAATTTTCATATTCAAATAATACTGGTATGGATGATTTTGGCTTAACTTTAATGGTCTATAATATCCGGTTTTCACTGTGTGCATTTTTTTAATAAGAGAGATTTTGCTAGAACATGGAAAACACGAGAAACTATTTGCAGATACAACCTGTTTATTAACCTTATCAATTCAAATATTTAGAAACTAAGAAATTTGTTTCATTTGTTTGGTTCTTTTGGGCAGTTGATTTACATTCATAAACCTTGCAAACCATGTTCTTTGAAATGTTAATGTGTCTTTCGAGCTCATTGGAATTCATATGTCATATTTTAAATGAATTCCATATTGGCTTCGATTTACGATTGACTAGTCTCCTTAGAAACCGTTATAAGTAACGGAGTGGAACCTGGGACCGATACAGTTATTAGGAGTGGAGAGGGACCTGAAATGAAACGCGTTCAAATTTTATTCAGTATGCAACAAATTTGCATAGTCCCAAGTCATCTCATCAAGTCATTGGCTAAGTTCACTTTACAGCTTACTTTAATCGGAGTGTCTAAACGTCAGGCAGCCTGACCTTTAGTCCCAGGACTAAACGTCAGGCAGTCTAATTTTTTCTTATAAAATCGTCGGAACAACCGTAATTYCAATTAATACAACAAGGGAAATGCAATTAAGACCGAAATAATACTCGACAAGTTTCAAACACAAGCACGGCATTTTGAGATTTTTGACTGCCTGACGTTTAGTCCCAGAACTAAACGTCAGGCAGTCGATTTTTTTGTGTGAAAAGTCGTCGGAACAACTGTAATTTCAATTAATAGCACAAGAGAAATGAAATAAAGACCGAAATAAGGGTCTAGTCAAATGTTAGCAGGGGGAGGGGAGGTGGAAATTGAAAAGTGGGTACTCGGAATAGGGTGACCAATAATAGTGGGGAAGTGAAATTTTCTAGCCCTACTGATATTAGACAGGCAAAATATCGTGACCTTCCTCGTCCCCCTTCAACCACCAGAAAAATTTTTCATTGTCCACAATTAGCATCCAGTGAATCAGTGGTGCAGGGCCTATAATTGAACCATTCTTTCTTCATTTTCAAGGGATAAGGGTTAGGATATTTGATAGGCAGTTGATTAGGACATTTGATTCATATATTCTGAGTATTGCTTACTTTATATATTTGATATACTTTGTTTGTCTTAGTGTTGTTGTTTGCATTGATTATCCAAATAGCTTCGAATGTTTTGGCAAATTTATCTATAAATAAGAATTATCGATAATCACTTATACTTCTGTGAAAATTTGAGTGCAAATCAAATCGAAATATGCGACGTAGTTGGAGTTTAAAAATACCCGCCAAACGCTATTTATTACGATCGAAACACCTTAAAGAGTTAAAAAATAAAGGGGAAAAATACGTAAGATATTCTTGTACAGTTTGTTGTGATGTGAAGTTCGAGCTATATACAACTGATTTAATAAGTATTTGTTCGCATGGCACATGTGGCAATAAAAGATGTCGTGTTGACATTCCTTGAAATAGCTTACATCTGCTAAGGCTCAGTATCCTTGAGATAGTAGTACTAGATAATCTACATTCTATAGTTGCTATTGGATCTCCGCTATTAGGTATTTTCTAATTTTTATATTTTAATGATAGAGTACAAACACTAAAACTGTGCAAGATAAATAAACTAAATACTGATAAATTATGCTAATTATATTGTTTTCTATTGTTTAATTAGCACTATTTTGTAGTAAATAGTGGAAAGTGTTGAACACATTTAATGTTTGTACTCTATGAGTTTTACTCAAAGAAGTGCATAACCAAGTAATTGACACTTTTTCAAAAAGTGTGACTAATACAGCTAATAAGTGCTCTTTTACGCGAACAACACAGAATAGATACAGGAAGGAGTCAGAATTTCCGATTGTATAAAATATGTTATATATAGTTTGGAGGGGTAAGAGTTCGACTTTTTTTTCGTTGTTCGTTGATTAAAAGGCCTATTTATCAAATTCATAGATTTAGTAAACCATCAGCTTTAATCAAATTAACTGTATGTACCCATGATCCAGTTTTTGCTTGCAACAACATCCAGAGTCCATTGCTACATGTGATAGTACAATAACTCTTTTCGCGGTTAGAAACAAGTTTTCCACCAAGGCGAGGCAAAATTGGGCAACATCCCAAAAACTTAAGTAAAATGATTTTTGTTGGCGAAAAAAGTCATAACTTTGAAATTAATTATATTTTCCAGTTTGGTTTTAACCGCGAAAATGTCTATTTTCTGCTCAATACCAGCAATCGCGGATAAGATGGCGTCCATCTCATTATGCATACACTTGAAAGATCAATTTCAACATGGGGGATACGCCTAAAGAAATGTATGGGAATACAACTTACAAGGAAAATTATGGCTTGACAATTTTACAGCTGCATTTTCCGCTGTTTTCCGATTAACCTGTTATGCCTAAATGTATACTATCAGAATCAATTTAAGATGCCAGCATCAACATTTAGTTAGGGAAAAATATAGCATACATTCTTACTAAATTTACGATCACCTTGCACAACAAAATCGAAGAAGGTTCCACTGTCATAACATAAATCTACTTTCTGCTTTCACAATGTGTTATTCACAGGGCACACTTGCCTAAGAGTCGCTTTTTCCGGTAAAATATCAGATATCGATTCAAATGCCTCCTTTTTTCATTTCATCGCCATGTCGGTAATAATAACAATAAAACAGGAACCATAACACAAGCAATTAGTTAAATAGCAGACGTTTTTAACGTCAAACCAGATTAATTTAATAACCCTACCATCATTCTCCTATCTGGAAAAATCAAACGACTTCCATAGTATGTAAATAATTTGGAAACTGTTTGGAAATTAACTGTAAATTTTCATTTCCAAACTAATGGGACATTTACAAACTAATTTTTATTTATAAATTGTTTGTAGATTTCTATATTTCTTGTTTGTAAGCTGTTTGGAAATAATTCCCATGTTTGGAAATTATTTGTAAATTTCATTGATCTTGTTTGGAAACTATTTGGAAATTATCTCAATTTTATTTGTAAATTATTTGTAAATTTAAATGATCTAGTTTGGAAATTATCTCAATTTTATTTGGAAATTCTTTGTAAATTTCATTGCTCTTGTTTGGAAATTCTTTGTAAATTTCATTGATCTTGTTTGGAAATAATTTGTAAATTTCATTGAGATTTACCATACTATTTTGCAGTCCCAGCAAATTTGCTACCAATAGATTACATAAAGAAAGAGCATTGTGTACTAGACATTTACATGGTTTATTTGGAGCATAGCATTTGAGTATCGAATAAAAATATAATCTTTAAAACTAATACAAACATTAAATAAAATGTGCACATGGCACCATTAAAAATTCATTCTCTTCCAAAAGAAAAAATGCTGATAAGTACTGCTAGAAAGAAAGAAATTGATTTTAAACTGTTTTTTCTAAGCTACATGCATGGGCAATAGCCATTTTGCAAATTTTGCCTCAGTAGTCAAACAAAAAGAATCAAGACGAGGCACTGTGCGTAAAGCTCAGTCAATTGTAAAAAACTCTTGTCTTTTCGCATATGACTGACCTTTATGTTGGTGCCTCGTCTTCAATCTCAAGTCAGCTTTTGAAACTTAGAAAATGCAAACGAAGTGACGTTTACTAAGGAATGATTTCATTTTATACAAAATCATGAAAGAAGCTTTTTTTATACACTGCAAAAAGCATTTTTCAACTTTTAAATTATTACTGTGATTGATAATTTGAGCTCTTCAACCAAGAACATAATACAAACAATGTAAAAAGTCTGGAAAAATTCCTACGTTGACGTCACTTCATTTGCATTTTCAGTTTTCAAATTCAAAAAATGCATTTCAAAATCTATTTCTTTCTTTACAGAAGTACTTGGCAGCATGTTACCTTTCGGATAAAAGTGATTTTTTAAAAGGTGCCATGTGCAATTTAAGCTGTAACTATAAATTGTTTTCTGTATATAACAGAAACTCATAAGGGGATTGAAACGTGTAGCACGGTCAGATGCTCCAGAATATTCAAAATGATTAGCATAATTTTGATACCATATTTGGGCCAAACATTTGAGTTTGAGATGAAAAAAAAAATGGCGGACAGACGGCGGCAAAAAGTTGTCTCGTTTTAAATTGTTCTAAAATGTAGCTAAAATGCTCAAAAGAGCTGAAAATCGTACAAAATCAACTGATTACCATCCAAAGGACATGGAATGAGGTATATTATTGTTCTAAATATGGTTGTAAAATGACTTCAGTTGATTTATTGGCGTTTTGAATATTCCGGAGCATCGAACCAAAGAAATGTAYTGTTGCTACACGTTTCAATCCCCTTATGAGTTTCTGATATAACTATTATATGACTGTGAATATTTATAATGAAGCATTGGACTCAAGTAAATATATTTAAAACACCGAAATTGAATTTTGATACTATTACTAGGTGAATAACTCAATGATAAAGATGAATTAATTCAGTACCAAGACGAGTCAATTGACAGAAAGCGAAGAAGAGAAACTACCTTAAAATAGTTTATGCTAAGAGTTAACATTGAATTAATTTTTATCCAATGAAACCAGTCATATAATAAAACTGTTATTAATCAACCTTGCTTGGTCTAGGTATAAGATCTAGACCTTGGTCAGTTATTCCTGACTGCGGTCTAGATTTTTCTATCTATCGTGCAAGAATTTGACACAAGTGTGGCAGAAAATATGGCTATCATACATGTTTTCAA